CTGCAGTGCCCTGCCTAAGTTAGCCTATTTTTCAGAAAAGAGGAGTCTTGAGGATTGTGTTGCCTCATGCAAGGCCAGCTTGAATGCACCACAATGACTTCTGGCATGAAGCAATGCCAGGTGTACCCCCTGAGGATCATCCTTCGCACCATCCTTTGGTTTTGATAGTGTGATGCAGGGTTGCTTAATGTGTCTTCTGAACAGAGCCATCTCCTGTCCAGCAGGCTTTCTTAACTTAGGCTCTGTGGCCCTGCGCAGTGTAAATGTGGCTGTCTTGCTTTGGGACACAAGTAGCTTTGTGCAGGTAAGTTACCTATAGGAAACTGTTTATTGCAGCTTTATTTCTGCATCTCATAACCTTCTTTTTGCCATTGTTATTGTGCCTTTTCTTTTTCAGGAGAAAAAAATTTTAAATCCTTTCTGGATTTTTTTAATGGGTTTTTTTTGTTGTTGTTTTTCTTGTGATTTAACAATAGATGATTACTTTTATTAAACCTCTGACTGTCTAGCAAGAGGATTAATTAATAATGAAAGCAGAATACTCAAGTGTTTTTTTTTTTTTATGCTGACTGATATAATGACATCAGCTTGGGCTCCTGTGACCACTCACTCCCTAAGGATGGAGAGCTCTCCGAGTCTTTGTACTGATGCGCTAAAGAAAGGATCTTTCCAAAGGGAAGGCTGCCAGTTGTGCCAAACCCTGCTGAATGATTATGCATTATTTGGCAACAGCAGAATTTGTTTGATGGTTCTGTCATGTGTGGGGCTATTTAAGTTGTGCCAAAATCACTTTATATACATACTCTGGCCAAACTGGAATTGACTTTGCAGAGGTGAAAGGTTAATACTGTGTTCCAGAAGCTGCCCTGCTCCTTTGAGATTTATCTTTATGGAAGGAAAAGCAAAATTTGAATGGAAGTTATGACACTGGGTTTAGTCCAACAGATTTTGGTCTAAAACACTATTGGCACACACTGACTACTGTGTCTTATGTCATCTTCCAAAAAATCCCACTGTACTTCACATTAGTTTCTCCCCATGTTGTTCTAAATTGGGTCTTTTAAGTGCAGTAACTGAAGAGTTCAGCATTTTGCAGGTATTTACTGGTTTGAAATAAATATTTATAGCTTTCTTTGTAGTCACTTTCTGAATGTGTCATGTGTTACCATTCAAAATATCATCTTCTTTAAATATTTTATTTTAAAGCTATGGCCATTGCATGCCTATATATTTCTATATATGTGTAGTGTGTGTGTGTCTTAACATTATAATAATGCTTTTATAATCCCTTTGATTTTCAGCAGCAAGGGAAGTTCCAGCCACTCGATCAAGTTGTGCTAGACTCAGAGTACCCTAGCTGCCCGTTGCTGCTGAAGTGTGCAGACGTTAAACAGTACATACATCATGTAACAGAAGAAAAAGATGAAAAAAAAGAGCTGGGGGGCAAAAAAAAAAGGTGGATTTGTTAGTGTCACTTCATTACAAGATAGATTTAAATACTGGTTTTTGCTTTACCAAACACCCAAGGTGCTGGATGAAATTGTACTTTAAATACAGAAGTTTAGGCTTAGAAGTTGTCATTGCAGTATTGTGAATAGTAATAAGTAGATGTCAGATTATCTGCTGTAACTCTAAGATACTTGTGCAGTCTTGTTGTTAGGTGTCATGCAATGATAAACTGATCAGAGCTGTCTTCTTGATATTATTTTATGTGTTGTGAACTTTCTTTGCCACTTGACAAAAGTTTTACATCTCTCTAAATTCTTTATTTAGTGTATGATGGTCTGATGTGGAAGAAGTTAACATTGTCCATTTGGCTTTTTTTCTCCCCTTGTCATAAAGCATTCAAACAATAAGTAGGAAAAAGCTGGAGAAGAGAGAATATGCTGCTGAGAAAGGAGATCACAGGTTTTCTAGCTTTGCGTAATGTAGTGCTGTGGGTTTAAGTTCAAAAATATATATTTTTTTAATATATAACTTGACTGGGATACATAAGTGTATGAGAGAGAAAACCTAAATAGAAAAAATGAGCAAAGTATCAATTCTATACATGGTTTCCTCAACGTTTGCCCAGAATTCTTTTTGTTATTGAGACATTTACTTTATTTGAGGACAATATATGCTTTCTAGGGAAGAGGAAGGAGCATTAAATAATTTTCGCAGCTTGGTAGACCTGCAAAAGATAAAAGACCTCAGTTTTTATATTCAGTCCTTTAAAGACCTTTCTCCTTATGCTTGCTGACTTGGTGATAGTTAATGGAGATTTAACTACATGATGATGGAGATCTACAGGAGGAGGTATAGGAGTGTGAGAACATGGAATCTACCACCAAGTGCAAAACAATTAAGGTGTCTGACCCTTTATGCATGTAGAGCTCTTCCAGGGAGTTGAAGTACACAGATTAAAAGCCAGAAATATTAGAAATTTGCTTTCACAAAGCACTCTGCCCGTGTCATTGATACATATATAGGAAAAAATATTTAGGTCATCTACAGATAATTGGGAAGTGGCTAAGGAAAGGTGATAGAACAGCGAAAACACTGCTAAGAAGTAAAACACCAGACCTCTTTATTGCTGTTTAGGACATCAGTACAGAGGGCAGGGGCAGGATGTGTTTCCATTGAAAATGGTCACTTTAACAAGAGAGCAAGAAATCTGGGCAGCAAGACTGTTGTTACATTCTTGCTGGGACTGCAGTGGTTGGAGTTATGTGGTGTTGTGATACTCCTGGATTTCTGAAATAGCCTTTGGAAAACATTTAATTACGTTCAGTGTCATTGGGAGCAGGCAACCTTTTCTTTGGGCGAGTTCTGACTTTTTAGAAGGCTTCTTTAAGACAGGTGCATCTGAACTGCAAAACTGCTTTTGCCTTCCATGAAGTGATAAATACTTCCAGTAAAAGCTATTATTAAGCTTTCAGGGTATTGCTGTGCCCTACAACTTGAAGGAGCTAGGAGTGAGAGAAGGGATACTAAACTTCCGTGCACCCATCTGAGAAGGTGAAAAGTCATGACAGATCCTTTTGGCTGTCAAACTAAGTCTGTATAGGAATGTAGGACAAGGTCTGGATTATTTTTTCTGAAGGGGCATTCCATACAACAGTACTGCCTTTGGGCAGTATTTATGTTCCCTTCTTAACAGCAAAATAAAAATGAGAAAAAAATATATTTGCTATGGACACGAGGTCTTGTATCTTGGTCTAACCTCTGTATCCATTCTGAAATTGTATTTACAGTTGTTATCCACCAGAGCATCCTCTGATAAACTGTATTCTGTTAGACAGTAGTGAAGATGCTTTACTGCTTGTTTTTTTGCATTGATGTTTTTAGTAATGTATTACATACATCTATAAGTTTGTGTCATTTTGCCAGCAAATGATATTAACTGTTAAAGAAGTTATGTTCACTTCCTGGTTTTTGTTATGCAATGTAAGGTAGAAATTGCTTTTGTCATTAAAGCTATATACACATGCACACACCAGCTGTATGTGATGTTCTTGGATGTCCCTAGGCATGTACCTGCTGCTTTTTTTCTTGTTCAGGTTTGGGTGGGGTTGAAAGTAACAGTGGGGCCTGTTCTTAGAATTTCTTTCTTTATTTAGAACACCAAGGGTGTTGTGTTGTTACAAAACAGACACACTGGCACTTGCTTGCCTGTCATGCACAGATCAACTTTCTGTTCAGTCCCCTTCTATGTGTTTCATATTTTCATCTTTTATTGCCTGTAAAAAATATCAACATTATGACTGAGGTACTCTTCTAGCTCTAAAACCTGCCGTCCACTTTGTAGCCTTTCTCATTTAAGAAGTAGGGCTTTAGGGCAAGAAGTATGTGTTGCATTGAGTCTTCTACAGCTCTGATCTGTTTGGCAGAACCTAACAACAAAATTAGTTCACTTTTAATTTAATCTTATGGCATTTAACATCTGTCTAACAAATTCTTACCCTAGACTGCTCACAGTTTACACTTGGTGAATTAGCAGAAAGTCCGCCTTCCCTGGCCTCAGAGTTGAAGGGCACTGAAAATTCATTTTGCTGGATTAAATTCCCAGTTACCTGCTTTGGTAGTTGGGGAAAGGGTGTGTTACAGCTTGCTAAATCTGGGTGAGGTGGGTTGTTTGCTAATAAATTCAAACATAGGACAGAAAGTACAATAGAGAAGGTTTAAGAAAGGGTTATGAATTCCAGTTCTGGAGTGTTACTCTTTGTTTCGTTTTGCAAGGCAAAAACTGCACTGTGATCTTGTCTGATGTGATTAACATGAAGAGCCAAGAAAACTTACCTGATTAGAATAACTAAGTAATATTGCCAAGCTTGTATTCCCAGAAGGTAGGAAAAAAGGGGCCATATGAGTTTCAGAGTTATGGAAAACACTGAGAAAATGGATGTTAAAATGTGCTTTAGGCAGTTTGCTCAACAATACATCAGGGAAACTTCCAAGTCTACATAGCGATTACCCGATCGCTGAACATATTATTTAATTGTAGAACCACTTATATTCCATCTGTATTTCTCAAAACCAATCTTTCCAGATGTCTCAGACCAGTTTTATAGGCACCAGACACATTAGGGAACAAAAGGCTTTCCAATATATACTCATATTATCAAACATAGTCGCTAACTCTCACCAATATCAAATGTGCATCACATGTTAAATCCACGTTCCAATATTGAATCCTTTTGTCAGCAGTTTGTGACTTTCATAACTCACTTTAATTCTTCAGAGGTCTCAAATATTGTCAGTTTCTAGAGTTTAATAGTCAAAGCTGTCAAACACACAAAATATTTTCAAACAAAGTGATCTCTGAAGGCTTCAGTGTAATTATTTTTCACATGTTTTAATGAAAATGGCTTCACAGTTCTGTGTTTCCTTTCCCTAACTGAATCACTCTGAATCATGCTGTAGTGGGGGAGTCTGCCTGGGAATCTAGACAAGAATTAACTTTTCAGCATGGGTTGGGGGATGGTGGCCGGAGAGTGTCCCTTCCTCGAACTTTCTTAGATAAGAGAGGAATCCACGAGTCGTACGCACTGTACTTGGACCCAAACCATGTTAGCTCTTTGAGAAGCAGGTTCATGTATCCAGAGCGTCTCCCCCGTTTTCTGCTGCTTTTCTTTCAGAGCCATTTAGAAGCTTCTAACTCTTAAAGGCTGCTGCCAGCAATGTCACAGCTAATTACCTGCAGCTCATCAACTTCATGAAGCAAAGTGTATGTTAGTGGTTTTACCTTTTTGTTCTGAAGAATTTTTGCATTTTGCTCTTCTACGACTATTGGGATAGATTTAAACTTTTATCTTGTGAACAGCTTTCCTCAACCTCTCCACACCCCCTACTATGCATACACAAAGAGCAGATAATAGTTAGCTATTTGTATGCGGTTTGAAGGAGCCAAGATAAACACCTAAGAAGGAAATGCTGAAGGAATCATAAATAATATGTTGTTGTTTGCAAGGGGAGAAGGAAACTCCATTAACTGAGTGTTGGAATATCATACTGGATCAGTAAATTACATGAAACAGATGTAGGCAGTTATGGGAGTGGTATACATGAGCTTAAAACTTACTGAAATACCTGTTAAAGAAAAAGACTGAAACACAGTGGGCTCTGAAATCTCCTGCGCAGTCTTATTAGACATTTCATTCCATTTCCAAAATGTAGTTTTCTGTGAATTAATACTGAATTTTTATACTGAAATTTCCATGAGCCTTTATAATTTTCTCTTTCCTTTGCCTTAGTGTTTGTGAACTCATATCTCCACATAACTGATCATGTGTGAATAGCAAGTGTTCATGATACTCTACTTATCACAGGGGAAATGCTTTCTGAAATTCTTATATTATTGAGTTAATTTATGTTGCTCAATAAATCATAAATGAATCATGTACTTCCTCCCACTAGGAGTGTGTTTCACTATTTTGGATTCTGTATTTTTCTTTTGGTACTATATTAAACTATGTAAAAGGAGGATAGGAGTAAAACTTGTGCTTTAGTCATCGTGTGAAGTGAGAGGGGAGAACTAATAGGAAGAGGGTTTATTGAAAGGGTGGATGGTTTGTCTTCACTAAGTAACCCTCTGTCCTGGCCCCTTACTAAGTGCTGGAATTCAATAAGTAAATATTTAAGATACTAGGGTTTTGTTGTTTTGGGTTTTTTTTAAAAAGCAGTCATGGAACCAACGTTTTGTGTTGTGAAGTATATAGTTAAAATGACCAGTTTGGTGACTCAGGGGAGTGAAGGTTTGGCAAACTACAAGGGCTTGAGAGGAGTCTTAGTGAATTCAGGCAGCCCAAGATTACACATAAATAAAAAAAATATGTGCGTTGCTGGATTAGAGCCTGATTAAAGAATTGTCAAGTTGTTCAGACTTGTGCATATCAGCTCAGTCTGTTTATTTTTCCACATTTCCAATATTTTTGAAACTTAATGCCCTGATATCAAACATGTGCAAGCCCCAAATTAACTTTCATGCTGTATTTACAACTTAAAAGATTTAAATATATTGAAAATGCAATCCGAACCAGTCATGACTTTCTTCCACTTACTTGTTTTTTCTCAGAGATTGGCAATCAGAAATTCCACAGATACAGCCAAGAGAAGACACTGAAGTGGTTAAAGAAAAAGGTATCGTGTTTCTTTTTGCTTTCAGAATTGCTTTATGCTTAAAGTGAAAATGCTTGTTAGCTTGTCCATATCTGCATTTGAGCCAAGTGGGTATGTGATGAGGTATTAAGAGAAACAACAAGTTTGTTATGTTTCTTTTTGTGACGGGGCTGGTATGAAAGGGATTCGTGGAGTGTGGAGAGGCAGAAGAAGCAGCTGAAGTTCAGTTTATCACTGTGTTCTGTAGGTTTTGCATAAGGTGAAGGACTTGTCTTTTGCTTTGCCCACTTCACAGATGGGCTAGAGGAGAGCTTTGATTGTTGCAACTTTTAAATTCTGCAATGCTTCGAAGCTGGACAGAAATACCTTCGTTGTGTGCTACCAATGGAGTTCCTCATTAAGTTCTCAGAATGGCAGTCTCTCAGAATGATCCTGGTATGGTTACTGCTGTCCTGATCCACTCAGGCTGTTCAAGAGGTCTGTACAGTATGCAGAAGATAAACTAGTGTTATAGCTAAGCTTGATGTGGTCTGTGTTCTGATACAAAGAAGGCGAATCTCATTTTACACATGCACATGTGCCCCTACTATGGTACCACTTTGTAGAAAAAGATTGTATGTGTCACGTGGTACAAGGAAGCCTTATCATTTAAATTAGTCAATGCAAGCACAAAATCTGGTCTACTTCCTGAAATGATGAGGCACGGGGATGTCTATTTTGCACTGAATACCTGAATATTTACATTTGAACAGGTACCTGTTTGTGTTGATGAAAATATCTTCCTCTGCCAGTTATGTCTCTGTTAGATCCATTGTAACAGTGCCCTGTAAAGTCCTAAATCTTTCATTTTCATTAGGACTGTCTTTGCAATCCAGCTGAGCTCAGACATTCCGTGTTCTCTGAGCAGGTGTATTTCTCACCTGTATAATCATGGCTATTGCATCTGAGTAGCTCAGCTCATCTTAGGGTGCTGCAAAGCTGGTGCTGTGTTGCCAAGGCAACATGTTCAAAGACATGCTAGTTTCTTTGGGTTATTTGAGCTCATATGCTAGTCATTACAAATGTATATTAAATTTCACCACAGTCCATAACTTGAGTGTTTTATATGCTTGAAACAAAATTACAAGAGCTTTGTCACTGTATTAACATGTGCATAACAACACTGATTCAGACATTTCATTCTGTGGTTTCCTATAGGTCAATCAAACAGTGAAAGCACTTAAAAGCAACAATATATGTGTAGGTGAAAGGGTATATGCAGCTACATTTATCAACATTACACAGATCACAGATACTAAAGAAGGTAAGAAGACTTAACATTGTAATGAATTCCATTTTTGCGAAATTGCGTATGTGGAGATAAAACACATTATTACAATCTAAAATGTATTGAAATTGGCCTTTGCAGTAAGTTCTGTGTACAGAAAGTTCAGTATATGTTGTGACTGTATGCCTTGACGTTTTTACGTTCTCTGGTATCTTCCTCAGATAACATTGTAATTAATGGTAGATCTCAGCTGGGGTTCCTTTAGCCTCTCCTTAGTTCAAGAAGATGTTTTTCTCAGTGAAATATGTGCTGAAGTGCTTTGCTGAACTGAGACTCTTGGACAATAGGACATATGCTTATGTATAAGTATCCACCCATAAGTGTCTCTGTATTAGAACAGAATTCTTATTTATTATTATTTTTATTAGCATGCAAATGCTTTTCATAGAATTCTCCAAAAAGGGAAGAGATCTTAGGAAGTCACAGCCACAGAGTAAAAGCTGCTGGTCTAAATGTTACTTTATGTGACAAATGTATATAATAAACAAGTATGTGCTTATTAAGGGCAAAAACTTTAATAGTATGAGGATTGAATTGCTCTGAAATTGACAATCCTGGTACCAAAAAGTCTGGAGTGATCCTGTTTGCTTCTAGTCACCTTTTCCCTGGGGGGGGACAGGGAAAGTTACTGGGATATGAAGTTTTGTGGAAAAACCTGAAAATGGGCTTGGAATAAATTCTTTGAATGTTAGTGAAAATTAAGAAAAGTTTAGAACAAGATGAACAAAAGTAAATTGTTTCTTATTACAAAGACATTCAGAAGCCTGCATGCTTTTGAAAAATAAGGAGAAACAAAGCAACTTGCTGACGAAGTGGAAAATGAGTTACCAAGTAATGATATCAAAGGAAACAACATAAATGAGATTTAAGAGGCAACTAGACAGTTTTATAGAACAGAGATTGTAATATATGGTTTTTAAAAAGAGGCAAAGCTGCAAAACTTGCAAGTGCTTTACAGTAGCTTCTCATCCTTTTCTCCACAACCAATTTTTTTAAGAAAAGAGAAGATTGTCCTGACAGCAACCATCTTGACTATGCTTAAATACTTTATCTCTGAAATTTGTAATTAAATAGCTTATGTGCCGTGTTTTTTCTACCTTCCTCCTCACTTACAATAACACTGATACAATAGTCTTTGAAAAAACTTCTTTTAGATTTAGAAAAGCAGCATTGAAATAGGGAATACTGGGGGTTAAAAGTAGGTAAGTCTTGGAGGCAGTCCCACTGCATGTAGCAAGGTGAATGACAGGAAGTCAAATGGACCTTACTCAACACTTATTTTTAATAAGACTAATTTTCTTGTCTGATCTTTTCACTGCCATGACAGTGCAATTTATTTCCGTAGAGAATTGCTTTCGTAGGGGTATTATGAAATTTCAGTACCTTATAAATAGATGGGTATATGTAGTTAGCATCTACAGATGTTGTAGGGCAAAAATCAGGGAGGATATAATAAGTGCAAATGGGGAAAGAGCGGAGGTTTAACATGTGAGACCTGAATATTTCATTCAGAAGACAAAGAAGGGAGGTGTGCAAGTATTCCTGATGTTTGACAGGAGGTTAATAACAAAGCAAGGCTGGGGTGAGAACACAGACTCCTTAGAAGGCAAACAGTGGTATTTTAAAAATGGTAAAGGAAGTCAGTGAAACTGCCTCGAGGCAGAAATGCAAAGAGGATGGATTTTGTATTTAGTACAAAATAATAGGAGTTGACTTGGACTCACTCATTCAGTGTCATAATGCAAAGAGTGAAATGATGAGAATATTTTTCTTAAGCGATAAATTGGACATATTCAGTGCTGAGGTGAAATTGTTCTGGAGTGGAATTATTTCTTTTTCTCTCTTGATCCTTGATGAATCTAGGCAGTGGAGAAAGAGAAGTGCAGATAGGAGATACTAAGAATTTTATGTCAGTATAGTTGAAATATATATGCTGGCGTCAGTTTGTTAATGCTTTTTGCTTCAGTGCCAGTTTGCACTGGGCTTTTTAGATTTAAAAAAAAAAAAAAAAAAGGTAACCATCTCTGGCACAGAAGAAATAGTTCTTTACCACCCTGAGGCTAGTTTACCGTGTGCTTGTGAACTCTCTAAGTGTGTAGGCATATGAACAGATAGAGCTGGCCTGTTTCAGATGGAATTCAGAGGCTAGATTTTAGCTTAATGTCTGTCTGGCGAATACTTCCTGTGCACGGGTGCAGTTACTCCCTAGCAGCCCCAACAACAGCAAGTTTAAAAAAATCCAACCCGTGATCAGTAAATGCTGTGTAGAACGTGACCGGAAAAGATCTGTTTTAGGACTTCATGTTATAAAAGGGTCACTTTTTTTCCCCCAGTCTCTCAGAAAAACATTTATAGTAGGAGTGCCCTGTACTGAAAACAGCTTCTAGTAGTTCATATTTCCACAGATAATTATCCCATCTTGCCAGTGATGTTTAGATAGGCCTTGGCATTTTCCATAAAGTACTGAAATTAAGTACAAGACTTTGAAATAGACTCATTGTCTCATCTAATTGTTTTCAGTTGAAGCCAGAAAATGTACTTTAGTACTGAAACACTTGCCAAATCATTGTAAGATCCAGATGCTTTAAAATTAATGATTGTGTGTTCTGTTGAGTCAGCTTTTTACTTTTACAGGTTTTTAAAATTTAATTTCTTCGGAAAAATACATGATATCTCGTATTCTCAGAAAGTGAGCAGCTTTTGTAAAGTACATACAGCAGATATTAATAACATGTGCTGACAAAGTGAGTGCAGTAAGTCTTTACTTTTAAAATAAACCTACAAGTGTCATATAACATAAACTACTCAACACAGAGAACCATCACAGTGTATCCATTAGAAGTCTCTTACTATTAATTCATCCTTATGGTTTATGATGGTGCATGCAACATGGCTAAGGCAACATGACTATATGTATAATATGAATGTTCTTTTTCTTCTCCTTCCCACTTCCTGCCCTGTTTTTGAAGACTATTTACGGTATGCCCATGGGTTAATATCAGAATATATTCCTGAAGATCTGAGTAAGGAGTTGTTAAAATACTTAGGGTAAGTATTGTTCCAACTAGCTGATAGCTTTGTATGGCATGCATTAATGTCCTTTCGGTTATTTCTTTTGAGTACTGAGATTCGTTCATCAAGGTTGCAGTGAATAACACAATGAGATTATATTTGCCACACTTTAAATGTGATTTTTTCAAATGTAGATTATGCCTTCCTGTTGTTCTTAATAGCCAAGATTTTTGAAAGTAAGGTGGAGTTCTCCTGTTTTGGCTGACAAATCTAAGAACTTTTAAAAGAGCCCATGTTTCTGTATGGTGTCTGGCTCGGTTTTAGTTACCTAAGTCAGAAATATAGAGTCCATGAGCTGCCTTTTTTGCAAATGCATGCCATGTGTGAGCAGCTGATAACCAAAGCAGCATTTGTGGGGAAGGAATTATAAGGTTTAAGTCGTGCAATCCAGCTGTCTTATATATAACTTTAAATCTTTTTTTCTACAGGCTCCCAGAACTTAAAAGCCCAGCACCAGAGCCACCATTGAAGGTAGGAGAACATTAATATATTAACAGATACATTATGTTGTAAGCTAATTTCTCAAAATTATTATTAAAACTAGACTAGGCCAAGCACTGGATACAGTGCAATAAGTGAGTTGGCCTTGTGAAAAGCCAGTCTGAAATAATGCAAGAAATTTACCAGGTACTTCATATTTTTAAATAAGGAATATTT